AATGGCAATGATAATTACCTATTAATTGTTATTTAAGTAAAATTACTGAACTTAAATATACAAGTTTGATAAAAAATCATCATTAAAGAAGAAAATTTCAAATGGCATTTAGAGGCTTTTGCATCTGAACTCTTCATACAGTTCTTCTCAATAAGGGCCGATATGTCTTTATAGTTCTTGCCAGTGTTTTGGGTATTTGGAAATGCGAGTCGAGTTCAACCGCAGAAGACGTTTTTACTGGTTAAACTCAACGAGAGTTATCACCGCCATCTCTCTCACTGGTACTGATGTAAACACAACCAAAAAGATATTAAACAATCCCTTAGATAAGACACAGAGTGCATTAAGAGTCAGAAAAGTAGCCAGAGAAAAGGTGAGTGACAGAGAAAGACTGAGATACAGCCAGTATTCTCAGCAGGGTGAATGAGTCAACCTGTGAATGGGACAGCTGATCCCAGCGCCACTCCTGAGGCTAGCTAAGGTGTTGGAGCATGTCCATCAGTTAAAGAAAAAAAAAAGAAGAAGAAGAGAAGAGACGAAAAGAGACAAACGGCAGCACCAGGCCACATAAAGACACACGCAAAGACTCATAATCACTTCTCACTGCGAAAGATGAAAGTTACAGTTTACACAAAAAAACTCGCACTAGTACAACTAAGACGCTGAATCCCGGTATGAGTGAGTCTTTCTGAAGTTTTAGACGTAATAAGTGACTGTCACCTGTCTCTGGACAAAATGACACATGCATGTCAAATGACGAGCCGTCAGCTCTTTAGTCTCCGCTGCCGGAAATACTGTCTGTCCCTCATACGTCTTCCTCTTCTTTCCAATTACCTGAGCTAATAAATCTCCGAAATTAAACCGCTAGGTCTTCGTTTGGGTTCTAATGGACAGGAAGTCATATATTAAATCTATCTGCGATTTATCTTGAATCTTTGGGCGCTGCGGCTGATGGATGTAAGACAGGTTGAATTGTACTCCTCACTGTAATATCTACTGCTGCGACTTTCACTTTTTTTCCCCCTGCCGGATACACTAAAATATTTAAGTCATGTCTTATTCTTTTAGAGGCCCTGGGGTGGATTTGCCATAATCAAACTCAGGGACAAGGACAGTAAAAGTCTGAAAATATGTTTCTAAAGCGTACTTTTAATTTTAAAATCCACGATTATACTGCTAGCATTTTTAAATATATTAAAGAAAGCGCTCTATTAAAAATTGAGATTCTCTTTCCTTATGCAAATAAGGGGGGTAAATCCTATTTACATCAGATCACTTCCTCATATTATAGATCAATGTGACCAATACACACAATAACGTCCTATAGTGCAGCTGTACATCATATTTCAGTGAAGCAAATTCAGTCACACTAGCTAGACTTACTGCGATCACTAACAGAAAACAGACACACACACACACACACACTCATCTTCCTGTCCAAAGTGCACGCAAATGCATTCCATAGGCTGAAAGGTAGTCTTGATTTTACAAATGCAAAGCGCTGGAATCGGTTTCACAAACTGCTTTGCATGATATTCAGCTGTCCAACTTCTTTTTTTTTTCCTTCCCAATTTGCAACCAAATTGTTTTTTTTTTTTTTTTTTTTTTTTTACAATAAACAGACAAAAGGTTATGCCTACTATGATTTGACTTATATTTTCAACTTCAACCATATTTTCGACAAAGTTATCACAGTATAATCGAATATGAATATTTTTATTTTATTTTAGAAAAACTAAAAAAGTTATTTTAACTAGAGACAACATTAATTTGTACATGCATAAATGTAGCTTTCCTAAATGTTTTTAACATTTTAGAAATCTTGAAAATCCAGCAAAATTTGTTACTGTTTTGCAGTCTGAGATTAAGCTTAGAGAACCAAAAAAAAATACTTTATTATATTATATTTGCTAAATTTTGAAGCAAATACAAATACACAGTTTAGAGTAAAACTTCACACACCAAAAAAAGTCTTAACGGTAACACTTTACAATAAGGTCTCATTTATTAACTTTAGTTAATGCATTGACTAACACGAACTAAAAATATTAACATATTTTTACAGCATTGTTAATGTTAGTTAATAAAAAAAATCACGTTCATGTTAGTTTACAGTGCACAAACTAATGACAATACAAAACTTTCAATCTTAAAAATGTGTAAGTAAATGATTGGTTGAGATAACATTAACTAAGATTACTCAAAGTATTGTTCATTATTAGTTCATCTTAACTGAAGTAGTCAAACAAATGTATACTTTTTGTAAAGTGTTACCGTCTTGACATTTTCAAGACAAGAAAATCCTTTAACATCAAAATTGCGCGTTTGCCATTTAGATTTTTTAAATAACATTATTGGATTTTTTTTAAATAATCACATAAAAATATTTCCAAACACATCTACAATCAACCAAACAGGGAACCATTTACTAACCTAAAGGTCGGTGCTGCAAGCAAGATGGGAAGAAGACACTCGCGCTTAATTCCTGAAGCATCACGTTTGTGTTAAACCACAACCAGCATGTCTTGCCATGAGAAAAAAAAATTGCCAAAAGAAACCAATAAAAAAGTTAGGGGGCGAAAAAAACTGAAGCGGTAAAAGCTGAAGCGGAGGAAGCGATCTACCGTCAATCCATTTCTTTAACAAAAAGAGTTTAAAAAACAAAGGAAAAGAACTTAAAACACTATATGAGAAGTATCAGACACGAAAGAGAGGTATAAGAAAAAGAAAACGAGTGAGGGAGAGAAGGAGTGCGCGCGTGTTGGAGAGAGAGAGAGAGAAAGAGAGAGAGAGAGGCGGTAGGGTTGGTGGCTCGTCTCCCTCAGCTCCTGCCAAAAGCGGACGAGAGGAGAAGAGAGTGAGCGAGACTGCAAGTTTTTCTGGTAATTTGTGATGACACTCAAAGTAGAACCTCCTCGGTCTCCCCCTTAGACTCCTGCTCTTCTCAAGCACTAATGTATGCATGACACACCAAGTGCCTTCGCTACAGATGCATTAATTGGACTGCAGATTAGGTCTGTAACTTGAGGCATATTTGCACCCCTCCTCCGCCAAATCTCCCCCTCACGCTCTCTCCTCTTCTTCGGCTTCGAAACAAAAGCTGAGCAACCTTCAGTGAGAGACTGAAGTAAATAGACCAGAGCTTACCTTCGGCGAGCCAGGTCTCCTGAAGTTGACTGAGATCTTGAAACAGCTCTAAAACAAAGATGGCAGAGTTTGAGATGGTGAAACAACAGGTACAAAGCTTTAATTATGAGTTTTGACACTCGATTCCAGTCTCAAAGCCCTCCGAAGACCGAGGCGAGCGCTGCTGATTGAGATTTTAAAGCCCTGAGTGCAGGTGGCAACGAGCGATATTGCATTTTGCAAGATGTTAAGAAGGCGTGAAATGAACATTGTCTTTTTCACCCACACCTGAGTGCTTACCCTCGGTGTCCAACGCCAGGGCAGAGTTAATGAATTTTCTTTTCCTGTCCTTCGCTGGTCTCGTGTTGGACGTCTTTCCCCGAGGATTCTAAGCAGAAAGCAACAGATCAATTGTCTCAATTTGAAGAGGGAGTGTGTTGAGCTCGCTTTTGAAACAACACAAAACTTCAGCTTCATTCATCATGCGTACTTCATACATGAAGGATTCTTCAGTTAGTGGGACTTTTGACCTGTTGAAATCTTTAAAAACAGTTTTATCATGTTGGCCTCGATCAAACCTCAAGCGTAGTTTTGATTTTGATGGGGATGACAATTTTAAGTTTTTATTGAGTTGGATAAGTCTAGGACTTACTAACCCAACAAGTTAGATACTGACCCACTTGCTTTCTGGCAGACATGTGCTTCTCTGTCACTTCTCCTCACAACATAACCAAATATTTTACCTTTTTAATAACTAAATTATTTTGTAAAATGCCTGCTGTGACTAAAAGTACACTATAAAAAATATAAAAATATGTGATCAAAAAGTTATGACATGAGTTATGTTTCAACTTATTTTTTAAGTCAGTGTAATGTAATTTAAGTTGCAATGACTTAAACATCCAAGTTGATTGTACTTTTTTTCAGTGTAGAGTCCATTGTTTTTTGTTTTGTTTTTAAAATGAAATCTCTACATACCAGATTAACTGATAATAGCCTATAATTTTCTTTAAAAAAAAAGTGCCCAATAGATTTCCCCAGAATTTAACACATTTTAAATGTGTTAGGAGAAATTAAAAGCCCAACAACAACATACAGAAATTCTGCCACGAAAGTCATTTGATACAATAATATAAGATTTACAACTAGCCTATTATAATCTTAAATTTTAAACTATCAGTGATTGTTAATATCTTCAGAATCAATCTAGAGGACAATCAATCTAAAGTTCCCCTAAACTGAAGAATCACGCACATATGTCATATTTCTGTAAAGACATGTCCAAACGCAGATTCTTGTCATTCAATCAGTTCAATGACTGATATATATATATATATATTTACCATCATGGAAATCACTAATTTACCTTCATCAGACTTACATGAGTCTTTATGAAAGGCACTTGTTGGTCGTAAAGTCCGTCCATTCTTCAGCGCGCGGTCCGATCACCCTTTAAAGTAGAAGAGTGACTTTCAGAGATTTGTTGGAACATGAACTGCTGCATTCAGCAGCTCCATTCATAACCATAGCTTTCATTTGACTGACTACATGCTGGCTATTATGAAACAGACATTAAACGCAGCATATCCGAGACACTTTATTGATAAAGTTGCTAGTGTCCTCCTGAGGTAAATATGATGCGGTGCTGCGTGCGTAATGCAGCGAGCCGATCCTCCGAAAGGGACTGGACTTTAAGAAACCACTTTTTTCTGTTTCTAGTTACGTTTTACTGCAACGTCGACGGCGATGGAGAACTTAAAGCTTGCACTCACCCCTGTAAATGCACCGCATGCATTCATGGATGGACGTGTCGCCGGACTGTATGAGAAGCGCGCTCTCGTGTCTCTCCTCCGCGTCCGCGCTGAAGTAAACGCGCGCTCGCTGCTTCAGGGGCCTCCCTTCAGAAACAGCCGGCGCCCCGCTTCCCATTGGCTGTCACTGTCCTCCGCTGGATCAGATTTACACGCGTCAATCAAGAGCCTATTTCACCGTTCCTTCATTAAAATATGCAAAACTGATATTGCAATTATAAGGTGTTTATTTTTGAGAAGCACATCACATCATTATAATCTCTCTTGTGGCTAGATTTTTTGGAAATCCCATGCATGTACAATGCTTATAAACGAGCTCACAGTTTTTGACAAGCTAAAAAAAAAAACTTTCCAAGACTGAAATAAACACGAATATGCTTAGATTGGCCATGGTATTCAAATCATTTTGTTATTCGTAAAGCTCTCTTTTTGATAATTTAATGCAGTGGTTCTCAACCAGGGGACCGTGGCCCCCTAGAGGGCCTTCGCACAATTTTTTCAAACATATAATGTAAATGTAAAACAGTTATTTTAAATCATAATATTTCACAATATTACTGTTTTTACTTTGCTTTGGGTCAAATAAATGCAGTCTTGATGAGCAGAAGGAACCTCACTGTAAAAAAAAATCTGTTCAATTTACGGTAAAATACAGAAATTTACCATATAAAATACAGTAGCAACACTTTACGGTAGCAAGGTTTTACAGACTTAACTTACAATTTACAGAAATAAACCATATTTTATTATCTGATAATGTTAAATTACCGACATATTGATGTATTAATATCTATTTTGTACTATTGTAATAAACTGACAACCAACAATCACAGCAGTGATGATAGTCACATGATATATCGAAGTTCATCACATGCAGCTCTTCCACAAGAAACTTAATATTAATATATAGAAGCTGCACAGTGTCATTCAAACACTATACACCATCATGTTAACATCTTGAAATTTTAAAAAATGCAATACGCATTAATTTAATAACATCAAATGTAACATAAAACCCTAAAGCACATAACTGATTAGAAAAATACTAAGCAAATGAAACAAGTTATTTCAACAAAAATACATGAAATGCAAAGTGTCACGCAGGGAATTGTGGCAATGTCAATTTATGTTTTTTTCACTGTAAATTATACAATGAGTTGTTCATTTTCACTTTCAAAAACTGTAAATGTAATGGTATTTTACAGTAAAATTACATGGAATTTACCATTAGATCTATCACAGTTATTTACCGTTTATATAAGGAAAGGTTCAATTAACAATTTTTCACTGTAGCATCTTTTACCGTTAAAATTAAAATAAGTTTTTATACGTACCAATCCTAAACTTTGAATGGCAGCGTATAATGTAACAAAGCTTTCTATGTCAGATAAATGCTGTTCTGAAACTGTGTGGTTTTTATGCCGGGGTCAAGTGATGAGATTTCCCCCCCATAACACCTATGGTTATAGATGTGCTTTCACACTTTAGCTGACCTTTGAGATCAAGTTCATTATATCCATGCATGCAGCATATTTAACACATAATAAAAGTGTCGGTCCAGTGGTTCCTTGCGTCACAGTTCTTGTCACATGATTAAGAAACACCAAACATGTCACTTTTGCAGGATCAGGTGAACACACCAACAGAGGGACTTCCATTATGGGGAACTGATGGAAACCTTAACTGACATCTTAAGTCATTCATGGCGCAATGTATTATCCCGTGAGCTTGACGAAATGCAGGACAGGTACAGAATCAGATGTTCATTTGACAGGTTAACATTAAAAGGTTACAACCATAGGGATCTATTTGTTGTCAGGTCAAGAGGTGAGGGGTTGTGGCAAGCTGACAGGTTCAAAGGGTGAAAGTGGGTGTTTGTTAGAGTTACAAATGGACAAATAAGCACAGCAATCTAACATAATGTATTTTTTACTGACAAAAATAATGAAAAATGTTGCTTTCACTGGTTTTACAAACTTTTGAAATGGGGCTCAAAGGTTCAAAATGTCAAAAATGGTCGATTTTACCAGATTTTGTTTGTTAAAAATGTTTTTATAGATTTCAACAGGTAAAAAGTCCCACTAACTGAACCGTCAATATTAATAAACCATTCAAAAAGGTTTTATTGTTCTTCCCACAATTACAATGTGTATTTGTCTGCACATTATTGATTATGTTAGTATCGTATAAATGTTATAACAGGCCATGCTCTCTATCCACCATATCCAAAGTAAATATAAAGTCTATAAATTATGACATCTATCATACATCATATCTCGATCCAATATGCAGTTTATTGCACAAAGCACTTATTATGAGCTGCAGGCCCAAAGAGTTAAGTGAAACTAAACCAGGCAGAAACTTCTTGAATTTAGTGATGTGTAATAGTGTCTCACATCACTGCATGTTGCTATCTTGCAAGAAAAGGAAAGGTGCAGTCGCACATTTGCTTTAGCTCTGGCAGCAGTGCATCACAATACATGAATATTCATGAGCAAAGCACCTTGTGACCATGACAACCATGTCTTGTAAAGACAAAATAAAACAAAATACAGTCTTTCAATCTGACTCTTGATCATAAAGCAAACAGCTTTGGCTTAAAATGAAACACGGAGGTATTCACAATAAAAAAAGCCTTCAACACTGCTTGTCAATTACTGACTCCGGATGAGGATTGTTTAACAGAAACCCAAAGCCACCATCAAGTCTAAACCACATGTGTTTATGCTTCTGGAAATGATTTCCTTATAGTGACTTGAATGTGTTTAGTGTTTGGCACTACACTAAACAAATAAACTTTCAGTAACCAGACAGTTTCTGGTCTCATTGACTTCCATAGTAGGAAAAAAAAAGTATATACTATGGAAGTCAGAGAGACAAAGTCTGGTTACTGAAATTCTTCTAAACATCAGAAAAAACGGCTGAATGGATTCGAAAGCAGTGTAACCAAACTGTTTAACTCTGGGGGAGTTGTGAAATGAGCCTATTTCCAAAAAAAGTGGAGTATCCCTTTAAGTTACATGATTTTTGAAGGAAAAAATGTTTTTTTTAAAAATGCTGGGGCAGACATCACCAATTCACATTTAAATTTGGTCCAATTCTTTTCCATAGAAAAAACACAGGCTTTAATCTTGATTTGTAATATAATATAATATAATATAATATAATATAATATAATATGCGAACACCTGAAAACATTGTTCAGATGATGTATTTCAAGATCATCCCAAGCCTCTGGTACCAATTCCAAAACATCATTTTAGAGCTAGTAATGGAGGCTTGAGCCACTGATAGCAGACTAATGCAGATGCCAGTTAGAGAGAGAGTGTACGTGTGAGAGATTAAACGTGTGTAAATTACCCGAGTCTGTGCGTCTCTCAGCAGTGTTCGGCAGCAGCCCCTCTACTACTATAAGTGAAACTGTAAGTTCACCCAGCGCCATTATCAACGGACTAGTAAAAAATGTCAAGTGAACTTAAAATGTTTAATTTCACTTAAATGACAATTAATAGGTAATATTCATTGCCATTTAAGTGAAATTACTAAACTAAAATATACAAGCTTGATCAAAATGATCATTTTAGAAGAAAATTTCAAATGGCACTTAGAGGCTTTTGCATCTGAACTCTTCATATAATGAAGCGTAATTTTGTGCCAAAAAAATTTGTGTTTTTTTTTACCCTATTGTCTACTATATTTATTTGCTTGGCTTGGTCATTTGCTATTTGTAAGCTGTAAGGACCTTTGAAATGGCTGAAATTATTTGGCGGAATGATATAGAACTGCAATGCGGTCAAGACCTGCTTGCAACTATTTTAGCCGTGTGTTAAAATGATTGCACACTTTAGAACGTTCGTCAACCGTACCTGGCATCCGACAGCATATAGAAAATTTACAACTAGACTAACACTACTTACATGTTTTAAGTTAAAACAGTATTCTTTTGGCCATCACATTAGCACCAAGTAATCCAGAACTACTGACACTTTCTAATGGCGCTTTTCCACTACACAGTACCAGCTCGACTCGACTTATCTCAGCTTTGTTTGGTTTTCCACTGTGTAAAAGTTGTACCTGTACCTGCTTTCGGGTACTTTTTCTTCCATCACCTCTGGCGAGGTTCTGAGTGAGCTAAGGCAAGCTGAGCCGATACTAAAATGTGACGTGAAAACAATGCCGACTGCTGATTGGTCAGAGAGAATCGTTACCATTCACTGCGTCATCATTAGACACACCAGATGGAGTATAACCCTGCCATTTTTAAATAGTTTGGCCAGAGGTACTGTAGCTACTAAACTCACTACTATTATTATGGCAACTCGGAAGAATACACAACGAGGAGGTGCAGACTTTCCTTTGTTGGGTTGCCAAAGAGAGGATCCAGTGAGAGCTTGATGGGGCAACGAGGAATGAAAGGCATTGTTATGACGACCAGGTACTATTTGTGCCAGTACAGTCTGCAATGGAAAACGGAGTGAAAAGCGAGCTGAGTCGAGCCAAGGCGAAGCGAGTCGAGCTGGTACTGGTAATGGAAAAGCGGCATAAATAACATACCCAAAATAAAAATGGCTCCTGCTGATGAGTCCGTCTGACTCCACACATTAGACTCCAAAAGACTTAACATACTTGCTTCTGCAGGGCCTATTAAGCGCCGTCCACACTACACGCGACTTTGTCGCTGCAGGTCGCCAGTGGCTGCGCTGGAGGGCGTTCCCACTACTGGTTGCCTAGTAATGTTTGTGAGTGACATTCACGGATGTTACTCTATGTTAGACAACAAATACATTTTACTTCACTCCTATTGGTTGTCGCTTCCGAAAGTCGCTCTGTATTTGCATAAAGTTAAAAATTTCTCAACTTTGTTGCGTTGCCAGACACGCTAAATCCAGTCGCGACCAATGTCGCGACCATTTTAAATGGTGTCACCGTTGAAAATGAATGGTATCTTGTCGCTTGGTCGCGTGTAGTGTGAATTTTGTATAATGCCAGGTACACCTATAGGGTGCAGTGTTGATGTCCACCGTCAGTCTTTGCTCTCTCTGCGGTCGTGTCGAAAGACAGAGAAGCAGCCAGAGCTTTGTGAAGGGACCATCAGCATAAGCGCCTGATTCTCATGCACAATTTTAATCTGTGAGAACAAATATAATGCAAAATGTTTAGGCTTGTGTGATATAGATTAATAAAGACAACCAGATGAGGAAGATATGACATAGTTAAATGCAAAATACACAAATATAGGCACACAACTTGCCCAAGACTCTCCAAGACACAACTGATGTCGGAAAACAGGCAGTGAACTAATGGACTAGAATGTGAAGTGTGAGTGTCATTAAAATCTTATTTATTAACTCTGTCCCTGTCACATTTAATTGGGAGCTGAATTCTCAATTCTCCATTTATGTGTCAATTATAATTCCACATCAAAGGTGATGGTAAATATCAAGCTCTTCTCTTTGAGTTCACCCATGTGCTTTGTTCATGAAAGTATTTCGACACAGTAATGGCAATAAGAAGGTAAATGGTACTGAACACCTCAATAAGAAAACCTTTGGAACATTTAAGTTTAATTAAGACGCAGAGTCAACATGACATTTTTTAACGTATGGGGTGAAATAGAGAGTGTTCATTCATAATGCAAATTTATTGGAACCATGCCCTTTTTAGTGTCTCTCTTGAACAATTTAGAAACACAAGATACGATTAGGTGCCATCAGGTGAGGATCGTAGCTAAGTTTTATGAATAAAATACTTGATCCTCTAAAGAATAAAATTATTCTCTATTCAAAAATAATGCCATACAAAATAAGGAGAAAAAAAAGCTTTCAGTAAAGTTTTCATTCAGAAGTAGTCTTTGGAGTATTTATATTTTTATGGAAAAATATATACCATTTATATTTTATTACACATAAAAATAGAATGTACACTCACCTGAAGGATTATTAGGAACACCATACTAATACTGTGTTGAGCCCCTTTCACCTCCAGAACTGCCTTAATTCTACGTGGCATTGATTTAACAAGGTGCTGAAAGCATTCTTTAGAAATGTTGGCCCATATTGATAGGATAGCATCTTGCAGTTGATGGAGATTTGTGGGATGCATATCCAGGACATGAAGCTCCCGTTCACACCACATCCCAAAGATGCTCTATTGGGTTGAGATCTGGTGACTGTGGGGGCCATTTTAGTACAGTGAACTCATTGTCATGTTCAAGAAACCAATCTGAAATGATTCAAGCTTTGTGATATGGTGCATTATCCTGCTGGAAGTAGACATCAGAGGATGGGTACATGGTGGCCATAAAGGGATGGACATGGTCAGAAACAATGCTCAGGTAGGCCGTGGCATTTAAACGATGGCCAATTAGCACTAAGGGGCCTAAAATGTGCCAAGAAAACATCCCCCACACCATTACACCACCACCACCAGCCTGCACAGTGGTAACAAGGCATGATGGGTCCATGTTCTCATTCTGTTTACGCCAAATTTTGACTCTACCATCTGAATGTTTCAACAGAAATCGAGAATCATCAGACCAGGCAACATTTTTTTCCAGTCTTCAACTGTCTAGTTTTGGTAAACTCTTGCAAATTGTAGCCTCTTTTTCCTATTTGTAGTGGAGATGAGTGGTACCCGGTGGGGTCTTCGACTGTTGTAGCCCATCCGCCTCAAGGTTGTGCGTGTTGTGTCTTCACAAATGCTTTGCTGCATACCTCGGTTGTAACGAATGGTTATTTCAGTCAAAGTTGCTCATACAGTATATATTTTTTTTTTTTCATAAAAATATAAATATTCAAAAAACTTCTTTCTGAGACATGAGCGGTTTTTTTTTTCCACCTTATTTTGTATTGCATTATTTTGCAATAGAGAATAATTTTAGTCTTTATATAATAATATTTTTTCCCACTGATTGCCACTGGTTAACAAACAATCCCTCACAAGCAAATACAAACACAATGCAGCGCCACCTAAAAATGGATTAGCATAATCACTTTTGCTGAGGATAAGTTGGAACACCTGAATATCGACTGTAGCGTCTCAAAAGCATTCCTTGCGTTTACTGACACTAATTAAGCATCAATGAACCCATAGGTTGCCATGGAGATCACCTGCTAGTATAACAGTTATGTTGCTGTCTACCTTTAGCTGGAGTTTTAATCTACAGGTACAAGTGCTCCTTCCAATTAATTGTGTTGTCATGCTTTTTGGATTCCAGGCATCGACAAAATGAAGTATATGTAAATGAACACTGCACTTCAGAAAAGATGCTTTCAGAGAAGGGAAACTTTAATTAAAGGCAAACAAAGCTTTGAATCTTGCAAATGAGGTTGTTTTTTTTAGGGGCTGGAGCATATTTTCCGCTTTCTTGTAAGATGCTGCTGTGGTTTTTACACAAACTATCAGGGAAATCTAAGACTGACCAACTCAAGCCAGTTTAGGAAGAATGGAAGAAAAAAGCTCAGACAAAAAAAAAAAAAATGCACACTATTAAAAATAGATATTTGAACATTTAAGCTTAAACAGGTACATTTAAGCATATAATAAATATAACTTAATTAAATACAGTGCATGGGCTTTGCAGTCATGGCTCTCCATCTACTGTACTTGCAAAGGGAGGGGTTTACTGGTTCTGGTATATAGCATTTTATTTGTTCATTTTTGTTTGTTTTACAGTACATCTATAAACATCATTAAATTAGGTTACCTTTTTGAACCATATTAAATATTTCCTTCCTTCACTAGAATGTAGACAAAGTACTGCACAAATATCTCAAGTGGTCTCATGAAACAATACACTACCATTTAGAGTCGGTAAGATTTTTAACTGTATTTCAAAGAAGTCTCTTCTGCTCACCAAGGCTGCATTTATTTGATCAAAAAGACACTAGTAATAATTTAATTTTATTACAATTTAAAATGTCACATGATCCTTCAGCAATCATTCTAATTTGATGATTTTATGCTCAAGAAACATTTCTTATTTTTATCAATGTTGAAAACAGTTCTTCTTAATATTTTTGGAGAAACCATGATGCATTAAGGTTTATATCGGTTAAAGCATTAGCCACGTTACTAGATGACATGAAATAATGGCATGCTTTAATTATAATAATATGATACATTAGTATATACATACTAATTATTTTGCAAATTGTATGCATGCAACATTTATGATCTTTTAAATAAATGCAGTTTTTTCCTATTTTCTATAGTTTCTATTCCACTTATCAAGTTGCTCAAATCTAACCCTTCACATTTTAAAATTCAGTATATTAGGACTACTTGCACACAACAGCACATTGTTGTTAAACTAATGTAGTAATCGGGATTGATTTGTAAAGACTATATGAAATGTACTGTAACACACCTGATAATGATGGAGGAACATGGGCCAGACGTCTGCCAGAGCTCTTCAGACCCGTGTAGATCTGCCCCACCACCTCCAGCAGCTGGTCAGAGGCGTCTGCCATAGAGGAAGAGAGAAACAGTTAGCTGATGAGTAGCAAAAGTCCATTCAATTATGAAGTTACACACGAGTAGACCAACAATTTAGGAACTTCTGTTCCTCACAGTCTTGTTTTCTTTCACAACAAATGTAATACAATTTCTTTATAAATCTTACAATGACTTATCTCTCCAAATAATGCATCTTGATTCATGGATGTATCAGGACATACCATAAACAAAAAATAATAATTTATTAATATAGTGAATATTGTTGTGTCCTATATGATAAATGGCTTGTTTTTAATAAAAACATCTGTTAACGTCCCCCTGTAGTCAATAATTGTATCACTTTAAACTAATCTTTGATGACATGACATATTTAAATGTTTTTTTTTTTTCTGTGCATTTTTATTTTTATGGCTTAAAATAACTTGAATATAACTCTACACCCTTGGTTCATTTAGTATATGCGTAATCGTGAATATGCCAATTAGCCCCGCCTCCAATCACTCACACCAGCTCAGAGATTCACTCTGCCAACTTACTGAGGTACACACAATGGTATCGCTCTTTACAATGTCGGACAATGTAATTAATGTGATTAGCCCTTTGCTTGACAGCTAATAATGTGTTGCTAATATTACACAAACCATGGTCCCATTCGCCATCTCAGATTCAGGCGTAGTAAAAATAATCAGAAACGCTTTGAACAACTCAGAACGTCAATGGAGAAAGGCATATAGTTGATCATAACAACGTGATATACATCATACACCCGCTATATTGCTAAATCTACCCGATTTTTCATATCAACAAAAAAATATACCGGGATAACCTGGCTTCTCTTAAGACTCCCCTGCTAGTCCACTGTTAATGATATGCTAAGGTTGACGTGATTGGTTACAAGGTAGTTTGTGATGTCAGAAACACCAAAGAAAATACTCAGCAATGGTGTTGACAAATGAATTTGCACATGTCTTAAAGCACATAAACAACATAAAAAAACCCTGATTTTTACCACAGGGCGACTTTCAATGATTAAGTGTAAATTTATTGCACATGTAAGGCGAAAATCTGTATGTGCTAATACCTAAAGTGAATTATTTTGCATGATAATTTATATACATGAAATAACACAAAACTAAAGAGCCCATGCAGACAGTCCTCTCCCTCCAAAACACAAACCCAATATCAATATCCTTGTCAAAATGTGTTAGTCTGTTATAGCATCCGCTTTCTACCAAGCCTGACCCATGGGAGGACATCAGGGGGAAAAGATTATGAGGAGAAAGTCCAAAAGAGAAGATGAGGAGCAGACAGTGGAGGTGTGTTTGGGCGGAAAGGGGGGGAGCGTGTGAGAAGAAGAGAGAAAAAAAGCAGACAAGCTTGATTTGGAATCTTCACAGTCTGCCTTCCGCTCTAAAAAAGCATAAATTGTCACCGTTGGAGAAAAGGAGGGGAGGGAAAAAACACCAACAACCCACAAACAAAACACCTATTAATTAGAATGCGACACTGATGCAAAGCAATCTAGTGTTCCTCCATATTTATTAATTTCTTTTTTGTTTTGAAGTTATGAGCATTGATTTTTCCTCGGTCGGAGGTCCAGTGTCGCGCTGGGACCATCTGTTCAGTAACAGCTCCTATGAGTCTTCCTCTCCTCCTCCTCAAACACACACGGTGTCATTCAGTCCACAGACAGGCAACAGTCAGACACACAAACAATCAGAACCGAGAGCTGGCAAAAGCTCTGACCACGAGCACAAGGTCCATTCATTTTCTATTTCAATTTTAGTTTTGACCTTGTTGACACTTTTTATGGGTATCTATATCCTTGATTTATTCCATTATATTCTATAGCTTACACATTTTATATCTTATTGTATTTTATTCCTTACATTTATTGTATTTCTGTTTCCATTTTTTTAGATCTAATTCTACTCCTTACACACTGTAAAAAAATATTGTTGGTTTAACTTAAAAAATGAAGTAACCTGGTTGCCTTAAAATTTTAAGTTCGTTGAAATGGAAAAATGGAGTTAATACAATGAAGGATATTGATTTAATCATCGGAAACTCAAAATATTATGTTATATGAACTACATAAATTGTTTAAGTTGATTTGACAAAAAAGAAAAAAAATGTTGTGATTACAAATATTCAAATATTTTTTTGTCTGTATTTAATATTCAGCCAACTAAATTATGTAGTTTACATATTTTAGATCTTATCTTCTTGCAATTCTTAAATCTATTAAATTCTAATGGTTACATGTTTGAGCATATTCTATTTCTTAAATTTAATCTATTTTCTTCCATGTATTTGGGTTCTATTGCTTGAACATTTTATATCTTTTTTCATTCTATTCCTCACAAGTATTATATTATATTTCCTTACATGTATTCCATAGCTTGTTTTATCTGATTCTGCATATTTGTTCTATTTTGTATCTTACATTTTAATTCTATTCTGTATTTTGCATTTTATTCTATATCTTTCATAAATTACTAATCTTGATCTACTCTATTAATCTAATCTATTCTTACATTTGTTCTACACATTGTTATTATATTTCGTATTGTACATTTTAAATTGTATATCTTTCATAAATTACTAATCTTTATCTACTCTATGCTTTAATCTATTGTTACATTTGTTCTATTCTGTATCTAACATTTTACTTCTATTCCATTCCCTTTATACATTACTAATCTCCTTTATTCCATATCTAACATACATTTTTTTAATAGATTTTTTATAGACATAGATCTTCATTATATTCTGTACATTGCATCAATTCTGTATCTTACATGTAATTCTATACTGTTAATACAGTCATAGATACCCAATGGGTGCTAGGAAGTAATATGGTGAGCAGGTGTGCATTATACTGTAGCTGCTACTACAAAATGTATTTTAGGATGGCTGGAACACTATTGGCCAATCGGAAGACAAGATGTAGGCAAAACCCTATTCTACATGTACCTGAGGGCAATGCAGGGATATATTTCTTAAATATGCAAAAACAGTGTTGGTTCCAGTCGTCTGGGAGACCCCACAGTAAATGGGGTATACCACCTGGATTGTTGCACCAACCCTGTGTTCAGCTGTTGTCAAGGAGACCGGCTGTGAATGAGACCTTTCTGGGATTTGAAAAAGTGTGAGAAGTAAGAACTGAGTGTGTGTGTTTGTATGAGTGTACATAGTCCTTTGACCACTGTGGCTCTGCTCTTTAAAAGGGTCAGGCTTGCCGACTCGTGAGGCTGAGGGCTCACACAGAGGACACCGTCAGAGTCAGGCTGAGGGGATTTCTAAATGGCTGAGGGAGCGGAGAACACTCTCTACCAACTGCTTCACATGCTCTGGGAACTGTCATCTATTTCAAATGAGAATTTAACAGATTATTAACACTGATTAACACAGATGAAACACTTCACAAGAAGTTATATTAAAACAAAGTGTAAGCATTTCCATTCACTTCAATGATAGGTGATGTTCGGCTGGGAAATGATGCTCACAAAGTTTCTGCATGCTGGTATAATTGCTTCATCGGCACTCAGTTACAGTGTTTTTTTGTCAATCACCTGAACCATAAATGGCATCATTCAAGATCCAGGCAGTAGAAATTAGAAGTAGAAATAAACAGAAATTTCACACTGTTTAGAGCTGGTGGAACATACAAAACATTAGCCTATTCTAATATTAAAATTAAACAAATATTTTTAAACAAATAACAAAAGTTAAAATGTTATTTTTTTAAATAAATACGGAAACTTTCCATTAAATTAAATTGTAAATTAATTAAAATTAATACTTAATTAAAAAATACATTTAAAAATAAAATTTGCATTGCATTTATAATAACAAAAGTTAGAATGCAAAAAATTTCATTTTTAAAAAAATATGCAAACTTTGAATTAAATTAAATAATAAATAAATTAAAATTAATACTTAATTAAACAAATACATTTAAAAATAAAATTTACATGGCATTTTTTAATGGCTGCCAGTTAAGCCACCTAATGGTGTAGTTACAGCATAAAAACCAGCAGGGGTTAACCGGCCCAACCTTTACCCCTTTATCTACAAATAAAATTCGGGACTACTAGAACTACCAAAAGGAATTGCAAAAAGGATGGTTTTCCTGAACACTCCAATCAAACTGCCAATCAAACAGATAGCTCCGCCCAAAAACTGACACGTGACACCACTGATTGAGCCAATATTGGTATACTTGACCGTAGGGGACACTTAAACAGAGCCATTTTGCCAAGTGCCACCGAACAGTGTTTACACTTATCAGGGAGAAAATCAACTTTCAAATCAATTTCAAAAGGTCTCTACTTGCTAAGTTGGAATAGGAAAATGTATATTAACACTGAAAAATGTCACATCTCCTTCACGTTTCAACACAAACCTCTCTTTCTTTTGCACATGTACACACGTACACAAGCCGTGTGCACCTGATAATGGTGTTTTCTTGTCACCTGTTTTTTCTTTTTTTCTGTGTGATTGAACAGCCAGTGTTGCTCATGACGCACATGGAGCGACAGGCGCAGTGAGGGCTGAGGTACGCAGGAGGGGGTTGGGGGGGCTTTCACACAGTGTGTCAGGGGACATCAGTAGCCCCAGTGCAGCCCACGTCCATGCTGAATAATTCAGCCCGCCTCCATTCCCTTCCACCTGAGGAGGCCTGTCTCCTAGCGTCACCAGCGGGGCCACTCAACTGCTCCCGAAAGGTCAGACTCTACCCCATCTGAGAGCCAGGCCTCTGTGGCTAATGCACTCCCTGTTTACCATCCAGCTAATGCTCTCTCGACTAATCTGACAAGCACAGGCCTCTCACCTTCAGAGCTCCTTCAGATGAAGCTGTATCTACAAAGGCTTTCAAAACCACCAGCAAGGCGCCCGGGCTAAGTGCCTTCTCTGGTCCGAACCTGGGCTCGTGGTCGCCTTCTCCCCAATCAATTGATCTTTCTTTCCCAGAGTAAATAGAATAGAATGGAGCGTAAAGGGTTTTTCTTCCCTGCTCTCTTTTTCGGACGCCGGTTTTATTTGCGAAGCGCTCTGTTACTGCTTTGACCCAACCGAGAGATGCAGCAGGATATTAGAGCAAACATGCATGATACAAATGGGTGCATTTATCAGCGTCTGACTCGTATTGACTGAAATTAAAGAGTGCAAGGGGCTGGATGAACTGGAAAGACGGCCACAGACTAACGACAACTGGGATAATGGATTGGTACTTGGGGTTTAACTGAGGTGGACAGATTAAAGAGTTTAACGAATGAGATACTATGCATTTAAGGCGTGTGAATGTACAGATATTGATATACTGTACAAAACAAGAATAAGTATACTCATACTAGAGGTTATATTTCATTGTCACCCCTATTGACTGAAAAGAAAGCAGCTGGGCCAAGCAAGCAAACACTTTAACCAGCATAAACAAGAAAGTCAAACTGACAATCTCTTTCAAATGGGTGATTTCTCATCAGGGAACATCAAATACTGTGATTGTAAGACTCAAACAGGCTCAGACGTTTCACCCTTCATTCTGCTCTTTGTGATCCGAAACGCTCCCATGATAGCGGCCCAAAGAGATTCTGTACAACTACAATCAATGCTCTCAAAGCGGGCATGGTACATGATTTTCCCCAACGTGGTGACAACCGGCGTACACATTTCTAGATTAGTGAACAGCGTTCTGCCTTGATGATCCTCCGTGGAGGGAACATCTAAGTGTTTACCTAAAAAAAAAAAAAAAACCTCTTTATTGTTCTTTGTGCTTTGACGGGATTTGACCGATTCACCAAAATGTAAATTGGTCTGACTGGTATGTAAAGTGATGAACCACATTTTGGTTTGTTTTTAAATGTATAGGTGGGTTCATGGAAAATACATTATATGATAAACTAGACCAGAATTTACTTAAATATGTACTTACGGGTAAGTGCGACAATGAATGTGCACTAGAGAAGCCCATTTCCGCCGCAGAGTGATAAAAAAGACAAAAACGTAATTGTGACTCAAAGGGGTCATGAACTGAGAAATCAAACTTTTGATATATAAGAGGTCATCATACTATTAGAATATTCGATAACACTTTACAATACGGGTGCACTAATAAGGATTAATTCATACTTAACTAATGCACAGATAATACTGAATTAATTTGTAACTAATGATTATCTAAGCTATTCATTAATGTTTACCACATTAGGAACTAATTAAGAGTCTGTAAGGTTAATGTTTTAGTTCATACATGAATTGTTATGTAATTGTGGATTAATTCCTTAATAACTCATTTTTTAACTAATAGTGTCAATTAATATGTTAATTACCAGAATGAGCCAAAGCCTTGTATTTCAACTTCCAGATAATATGACAGGTACACTAATATGCATTAATACATGATTAATTACTTCATTGTTAGTACAAATTCATATGCAAATTACTACAATTACTTAATGACTAGTTAATAATGATGTGCCCCAACAAGTAAAGTCATAACATAATGATGCCTTTGCAAATCATTAGCTAGGTTTAGTTCTTCATGAGTTATACAACTCATGATTATCTGTGCATTAGTTAAGCATGAATTGATGCATATTAGTGCACCAGTATTGTAAAGTGTTACCGAATATTCTTATTAAGGCATGAATGATCTTGGGTTAAAAGATGTGTGGAAACATCTTTGATGTGTGAAAAACCCAGGTAAAAAGGAATTCTCTTTCTACTCTAATGTTCACAATACATTACTATAGAATTGACCTGTTTTTGACCCCACAAACACTACTGCCTTACATTAAAACATGTCTTTATTTGGCTGCAACCTTATCAGACCACAATGCTCTAAGGACAAAAGTGTCTATGCCACCGGAAGGCCCTGCCTCCCATAGATGGAGATTTAAAAAAAGGAGTAGTTCACTTATAAAAAATGCTGATAATTTACTCACCCCCATGTCATCCAAGATGTCCATGTCATTCTTTCTTCGGTCGAAAAGAAATGAAGGTTTTTGATGAAAAAAATCCAGGATTTTTCTCCATATAATGCACTTCAATGGGAACCAAATTGTTCAAGGTCCAAAAGACAGTTTCAGTGCAAACTGTTCAAAGGGCTTTAAACGATTCCAGACGATGAATAAGGGTCTTATCAAGCGAAACGATCGCTCATAAAAAAAACAACAAAGTTTTATAAGCTCAAATGCTCGTCTTGCTCTGTTCTGATGCGCGTTCGTGACTTTCCTGTTCGAACTCGTTCATCAAAATGAATGAATCTTTTCCCGAGTCAATTTGTTCATTTCGTTCGTTGAATGAACCAAATGACACGAAAAAAGATTTGTTCATTTTGATAAACGAGTCTTTTTGATAAAAACAAGAATTAGCACAGCTAGAGGCAACAGCAGACATATATGACAGCGAGCCTTTAGAAAATACAGTTTTTGAAACCCCAATCAGGCTATGGTATATTTGATTCTGCTTTGATTAGACAGGCCTGTCCACCAACGCTAGCACAAGCCATTACAGAGCCACTGACAATCCCAAACACTGACATTAAAACTGCGCCCCTTCAACCCAAACAAAAGCCACTCGCCATGATTCAATGTGTCACTGGTGAAATATTCATCACGAAAGAAAAGTTTCTCTGAAGTTGCCTTTGATTAATCAGGTGTGAAGACAAGGACTTTGCAAACCAGTAATGTTAAGGTGACCCTTAATGTTCCAGGTTCAATTTAAGTTAAGCTCTATTCACAGCATTTCTGGTATTATGTCTATTTCCACAAACTAATTTTGACTAGACCCCTGAGTAAAAATAAATGAATAAAAATAAAAACAAATAAAAAAAATTATTGAAAAATGAAAAAACTGTATGAGAATCAGAACCAGACATCTGATTAATTTTGCCCAGCATAGTAGCCTACAATGCGATTTGTGATATGTGAGTATGCGTTTGTATACCTAGGATAGCAAAAATTAGATGTTTGGGGTCAACAATTGTGGTCTTCTTTTCTGGAAACTTCTTCCCTGTTCTACGGTGACCCCTCCGTTTCTTGCTCTCTCCCCATAGGTTGGAACCGCTGTGCATGCTGGGAATATTCAAGATGGCGACGCCCTCCAATGAGATGTTGCTGAGGTTCAGGGTGATACCATCACGCTACAAAATACATGGGAAACATTGCAAGGGGCGTTTATGTACAGTATGCTGTATATTTAAATGAAAATGATTATACAGTGAATGAATCGATCAATCAATAATGAATAAATCAATCTACATCTGTTGTATTAGCACAAGCACACTGAAAATAAATTGCTCTTTGTTATAATACAAAAAACAACAAAATCCCGAAAGGCGGATTTTGCAGGGGGTGTTTAAGTGTTAGAAAGGCGATAAGGCATGTGGTTTCTCACTTAATCTCATTACCTCCACCTCAAGATAATCATGCAGCTTCTTGCAAGTTGCTGAGAAGGTTTCCGAGGTGCCAAACTCAAAGTACCAAAGCTTATTCTTCATCCTGAAACCAACAAGTTGTATCAGATTTTTATGGATAATTTTTATAGATTATTATCAATCATTAGGTGAGTGGTGTGGCATCTTAAAGGGATAGTTCACTTTGAAATTCATTTTTGGTTTGTTTTAGCTTTCCTGAAGGGCATCCAAGATGTAGGTGTCTTTGTTTCTGCAGTAGTTTCAATTTTCAATTTTGTAGTTTCAATTTTGATATTTTTAGGTCAAACCGTTCTTGTCTGTCAGTCATATAATGCAGGTCTATGGTCACCACCTCAAAGAGCATGCACAGAGAAGTCCAAATTAAACATGATTTAATGACTCGTAAATGTAAGTACACATTGATGGCCTAAGACACGAAACGAGCGACTTGTGTGAGAAAACGAACAGCATTTATATCGTTTTACCTCTTGTAATCACAGCCACGTCCAAGTAATCTGAGGGCCCGGACGGGGAAAGCGGCGGAAGTGATATCTCACGCGGTTGCGAAAAAAATTCTATGTTGTCTGTTGTTATATCGAAATCATCTTCCATTGCGATTTCCTGTATATCTTAAATAGGTCTAGATCTTCACAGTGAAAGGGTAACACTTCCAAAATCTCTGTGTAAACAATGAGTGACGTACACACGCTAGAGGTCACTTCCGTCCCTTTCCGGCGCTTGTGCAGACCGAAGTGTGGCTGTGGTTACAAGACGTAAAAACGATATAAATACTGTTCGTTTTCTCACACAAACCACTCGTTTCGTGTCTTAGGCCATCAATGTGTACTTACATTTACGAGTCATTAAATCATGTTTAATTTGGACTTCTCTGTGCTTGCTCTTTGAGGTGGTGACCATAGACCTGCATTATATGACTGACAGACAAGAACGGTTTGACCTAAAAATATCAAAATTGAAACTACTGTGGAAACAAAGACACCAACATCTTGGATGCCCTTGGGGTAAGATAAAACATACCAAAAATGTATTTCAAAGTGAACTATCCCTTTAAAATGAAATGGTTATGTATTGGCATCTATGGTTTCATAAAGAACCTTTAACATCCATGGAACCTTTTCTCTACACAAAAGATTCTTTTTTAGTGGAAAAAGGTTCTTCAGATTTTTTTTAAATACTATTTGCATTAAGAAAAAATATTTCTTTTAAGATTCTTATACCAAAAGGTTTTTTGAGAAACCCAAAATATTTCTTCTACGGCATTGCTGCGAGAAAAAAAAAAAAAAAAAAAAAAAAAAAAAAAACCTTTCGAGTGTAGTGGTTAAATATCTGAGGCATGCATGATATATTGGTACCATAATAGTTATCAGCCAAAAATGAATGTCTGTGTATGCACAATTCCCCTATTTTAAAATTACATGCTTTTACGTGATTACATGCCTTATACTTTTAAACCCTTATTCTTTAAGTATCCTAATCATTTTATAATACTGTTAATGGTATCTTTAGCAAATTTTAAAATGAATATTTTCATACTGTACATTATACTATTATACATTATACTAATGAACCTGATTCGTTGGCAAACCTTCAAAGGTGTGCGATTATTTTCAGAGAAACGCACGGCTAAAGTATTTCCAGCCAGGTCTTGACATTACAGTTCCATATCACTTTGCCAAATTATTACAAATATTTCACTTCCTTACAGCTTACAACAGCAAATAAAACCAAAATGACACTGACCAAGCAAATAAATATAATAAACAATAGAATAAAACTGACAAATTATTTCCATGTTTTAGTTTTAGTCAAATTAGTCATCGGACTATTAAATAATGAACAGTTTATCTGTATCCGGCAGAATTTTATTATCAGTGCTAATATACTAGTAATTGCAAGACTGTAGGTTTAAATCAAAATGAATGAATTTACAATAACGCATCACCTAAAGTAATTCACAATGACTGCGGTCCCCATCTTGGCTTGAAAATGATCCAGGACGACTCAAGAACTGAAGCACATGGCGCAAACCCCTACCATCATAGAGCCCAGCTAGGGTTCAGAGAGGGTAATCTAGCTGCCCCTTCAATTAAGAGTGGGTTGTGGAGCCGGACCCCTGTCCCCCACCCCACACAAAGTCTCTCTGGGACCAGGATCATGATCAGTGACCTCACCAGAACAAACCACCATCTGTTTTCATTACCAGCAGACACACACACACCTGAACCTTCTACAGAAAAGAGCAAAACACCAAGGATTTAGAGATTTAAAGAATTAGCCTACACAATCCCAATCATTAAAATAGGATCTAGTTCAAGGAAAAATAGGAAAAAATAAGACGTAAGTAAGTGACATGAGCACGATAAAAATGCTTTTGTTTTTTAGCATGCAGAGATCCATGGTGATTGTTAGAATGGTACACTCTTAAAAATAAAGGTTTGTTATAGGCATTGATGGAATGCATGAAGAACCTTCTATTGCACAAAATTTAGTAGAAAATGGTTATTTAGATAATTTGACATTCCTACACATTAAGAAAAAAAAATAAGTTAAGAACTGATCATTAAAAGGTTCTTTGGGGAACCAAATTTGGTTCTTCAATGGTATTACTGTGAAAACATTTGTGGTATTGCACAATAAAATATAAATACAAATAAGATGCATTATGTTTCTAACATCAATCTGTGCCTCTATAATTAAAAGGGAGGTGATGGGCATTCTTCACCAAATTTCACACAGAATGGATTAAATTTATATTAATGGCAACAGCACTTCTTAAATGCCCATAAACAGAATCCAACCAAAATCCTCGCATCAGTCGCAAATCCACAACAGATTATCAATCAGGGGTCGGCGGCGGGAAGAAAACCTTTTAAAACACGCTGATGTGCAGAAACTGTGCAATAAAAAATGGCCCCCTCTTCACTGCATCCCAGCCCCAAAAACCTGGATCTATTAGTATAAGCAGGACAACAATCTCTGAATTATTGATTTCCTCATTAGACTTTTTGTCAGAACCATTTAGTGACGTTAAAAATGAGCTTTCATTAGCCTCTTGCAGGAGAACCTCGCCGCCTTTGATTTATAATGTGCAACATGGTCAATATACGGCAGAACTGATGAGGTCTGCCGTATATTGACCATGTTGCACATTAAAACACGGCGCACACGGAGAGATGGGCAATGCACACCTCAGAATAAACGGACACACACTTCTTCATTGTGACGGAGACTGCAAACTCTCCTCCCAGTGTGTACTTACAGTTACACATACATTCAGGACATACTGGATGCCTGGATTAACATATGCTTCGTTATATGTCCAATCAAAGCTGCAATAAAATAAAAAAAACGAATGTCGAAGGATGGTTTGTTAGTATAAGTCCTATTTAATCTAAATGAGAAGGTTAACAGACACTGAACAGGTAAGTGTTTGTTACATCATTTGAACTTTTTGATTGGAGTTGATTGGAACACTTACTAATAATTTGTTTCAAATTATCTCAAAGAAAACTTGGTTCTAAATAAATATCTATTCCAAATATGATTTAAGAAACTTCATACAGCTTTATATTACATATACACTCAATTGGGCATTGTTTAAATGCCATGGCCTACATGAGCATTGTTTCTGACCATGTCTGATGGCTACTTCCAGCGGGATAATGCACCATGTCACAAAGCTCGATGCATCTTTGGGATGTGGTGTGAACGGGAGCTTCGTGCCCTGGATGTGCATCCCACAAATCTCCATCAACTGTGAGATGCTATCCTATCAATATGGGCCAACATTTCTAAAGAATGCTTTCAGCACCTTGTTGAATCAATGCCATGTAGAATTATTAAGGCAGTTCTGAAGGTGAAAGGGGCTCAAACACAGTATTAGTATGGTGTTCCTAATAATCCTTTAGGTAAATGTGGAGTTACGACTTAAATATAGTTTGCATACGAATGTAAATTTTAATATTCTTTATGATATATAGAACAGAAGTGGTCAAGCTAAACTGTTCTTGTATAAAAAGTAAAAGACCAAAAGTGTCTTTTTGTGAGAAAAGTAGAAAAAAACAAACAGGTTTGGAACAAACTAAATAATAAAAAAAATAAAATAAAAAAATAAAAGCCAAATATGTTTAGCCAAAGATGATGACAATGAAGAAAATATGTAGTTCGCAAGACTTCACCTCTGAGTTCCTGTATTGCAAACATTTGAGCAAAAGATCAGGATAGATTGTGCCATGATGGCTCCTTAGTCGATTCCCTCCACTTAACCTAACAAGAGTGCTAAAGCGACAAATCAAGCCGATCCCTTTGCTCATTAGGTAATTAGGAGCATCTCATCTCTTCAATCGGATTCCCATCTGTTCTGTTCCCTTTCACCGACGCACACAAGTAGGGCTGATAGACGGGTCACATCTGCACTAAAGACTGTAGGAAAGATCCATGCACACACTAGGAGGGCTGGAATGAAATTTTGGATTATTCTTACATTGAAACCGGTGTAAATGAGGTTACACAGTCAAACAAAGTACGAAAAATGTAGCCTATGATGCGAATCAACATTGTGTCAACTACCGTATGTGTCTTTGCAGTGGTACTGAATACGGACCTGAGGCAAAGTGTGATGGTTGTGCGTTGTCGACCCGAGGCTACTTTCTGCTGCGTCTGAGGAAGGCAAACATGGTCTTGTCATCGATTTTTCTTTTGACACCTAATCTAACCTGTAGTGATGTATGACCTCATTCTCACACTAATTTCTTCTTTATCTGAGGTGATAAATATCACATTGATATAACTACCTCTGTCAGGATTGCTCTGATGCTCTGTTTTGTAGAACATGACACTTCATGTGAAGAGAGAGAGAGAGAGAGAGAGAAGGGGGGGGGCTGGCTTGACACGAGTTTGGGGTGATTCTGTGATACTCTTCAAACAATCTGATTTGGGTTTGTCATCAGTAACCAGATTACCGATTACTGGTTACATTGTACATTGTAAATCAGTAACCAGACAGTTTCTGTTCTCATTGACTTCCATAGTAATTTTTTTTTTCCTACTATGGAAGTCAATGAG